GTGTTGTTCAGCATGGGGGTGAGTAGAAAATGAAGGCTAATCATGTTTTGGGTGTACTATTCCTTTAATGTGTAAATTTATATGAAGTGCTCTATGGCATTTCACATTTATCAGCTTGACTATGTATTTATGATATCTGAAATACATTTCTTCATAGTCAAAATAATACAAATGCTGAACAATAAAAATAGGAATTTGGAGAACTGAAATAAATTTCTAGACAGACAAGGACATTTGTTTTATTTTTTTAGCAGCTGCTTCTGATGTTATGATCGCAAAAGAAATGGTTGTTATTAGCGGTTATCACCGCCACAGAATGGCTTCAGATTGTGCCAGTAGGCTCAGTAGGTTGGTATCACTAATCCTAATCATAAATAGGTCCATAAGTGGGCCGGTGTAGAGGGAAAAATGCCAGGGCCGAAAGTCGTTCCCAGTCTGAGACTGATGACAGCTGGGTTCGTTCAGTCTGCCAGGACCCTTCGGCTGGAGGCAGGAAGTGCTGCTCCACTGGCTGAAGTCTTCCCATGAGCCCAAACCTGGGACCTGACGTGTGTCACAAACCCTGCAAAGTGTGACTTCACTCTATCATGTGTCAGGGTTGCTCAAACCAAAACCAAAACCAAAACTCACCCGTGTGGGATTGTGACAGCCAACCTGGCAGCTGGTTTTATTTCCTGTTGAGAAACTCAGGGCCGCAGCATTTCCATGCGGTTTCTGTTCATGTGTCGCCTGATGGATCATGCTCTTACCGTCTCTCCTTCAGGGGACACAGGCCCGTCCACTGCTGGGTTTTTGGATCAAAGCTTTCCACCGAGTCAAACAGCTTTCCATAGGAGCCCCCTCCAATGGCGTAGATCTTCTTGTTCATTGAGGCGTAGCAGCCCACCTGAAGGCAACAGATAAACACAAAATCCTTCACAGCAGCAGTATTTCTCGTTCCTTATTGGTCTGAATAAGACATTTCAGATCAAATAGAACAGGAGTTAGCACAGAACGTAGTTTCACGTCTAAGGACAGGAGAATGACGGCGGTGGAGGAGGAAAGCCTCGCACTAATCTGTTCTAGATTCACCAGATAGAAAAGTTTTGCTCCTGATGAGAAGCCAGACTGGAGCAGCTTCCTCTGATCCCCGAGTTCACCTGTTCCTCCTCGGTTCCTCACCTGTTCCTTACTTTATAGATCCAGTTCAATCAGATCATCCAGTAGACATTGGATTAAATCAACAGCAATCCTTTACATCTAGCCAATATCTTTGATTTGGATTCATCAAATATTTACTAAACAGATCAAAGATCAAATTAATTTCTAATTATTGACGAGCTGCTTCTTGAAGTCAGTTTCTGTTCCTGCAGAACAAATGCTAATCTGCAGAATTCAACAGAAATTTCTACTTAATAATAATAATAATCGGGTCTTTAGGGTTTCCCACTGATTTATTCGCAGATGGGAAAGTATTGGTCTGAGTCTAATCAGGAACCAGGTTGATATGAAGTCTAGCAGGCCGATGTTCCTGATGTCCCATTTTTTTCTGATGTTCCACCAATGACCGAGGAGGTTCTGTCTATTTTCAATGTTTTTAAATTTAGTTTCTTTACTGTAAACACGTTTGTAAATGGATCTAAGGTGGTAAAATGATTAGATGTGGCTTTTAATTTCCTCTTTTATATCAAAGGAAACTTTCAGTCCAGGATGTTCAGCTGCTGCTTGAATGTTTCCAAGGAGGTTTGGCGCCTCCTGCTGGTTATATGTGGATAGAATAGAGCTGATCTACTCTGTGCCTACTCCTCGGGCCGTGACCAATCATCAGATGCATCCCACCTGTGATCCCTCCTCCTGCAGAGCCGTCAGCATCAAACCACGAAAATAAACGTGAATATATATATATTAAAGGAATCTTCACCAGCATATATATTTAAGAGATTTAACAATATCTGGGTTTACATGAAAAGGCTGGCTGGATTTTTCTTTACGTGACACGCCTTATAGTTCACACCTTCATTCATTTAAAGAACTTTGATTTTATATTTTGGTATTTGGATTTTATATTTTGGTATTTAACACTTCTGCTCTGGTTGTATTATTTTTTCCAAAGCCTGGAAGCATCTCTGTTCTGGTTCTGTTCACGTTCTAAAGCCTGTAAACATCTCCGTTC